TATATATATATACAGGATTTATATAGCAACAACAGTTTACGCATCGCTTCACAAAACTGAGGGAGACAATACAATTAACAATACAATTTCAGTACATGAGGTAGGAGGGCCCTGCTCATGATATATATAAATATATATATATGAACCTACCACAACCAATGAGAATACATTTTTCTCTAATCAGATGCCAGAAAACTATGAACTGATTGCCGTATCTGACAATTAACTTTTCCTCTGCAGGTCGTATAAGATACCCCTATCCTCGGGACTGCTGGGAGCAGAGGATGAATGGAGAGGTGCAGAATGGTCCATTCACCATACATTTGGGGGGTAGCAGAGAAGACCAGCTGACAGTATACTGTGATATGGAGACAGACGGAGGAGGCTGGGTTGTAAGTATACGTATATATTCATGCACATGATTGACTGGGATTTTTAAAGTGGACTTTAAGATTTGCTATGTCATAGAGAACAGTTAGAAATTGTATTTTGGGTCAAAAAGAACTACGTTTAAAGATTCACTTTTTGTCTGGAATTCATCTTGAAAAATAGCGGTGCATTGTGAGTGTGGTGTATGTGGGTGTGGCTAGGCACTCCTGTGTACACATCCTCATCGCTGTGTATCTGCAGTGTGAGATCTCAGGCACTGCTGCCTCTGACTGCAAGTCCCAGGAGCTTTGGAGTGAGATTTAGTGATGTCACTACTGCGCTGCTCACTGTTCTCCTTGTTGGAGGCTCTGACATGAGGAAAGAAAGCCCTGCCTCTACCAAAATGTCTGCCTTCACACAGAGACACAGTGCAGAACTAGGCATGGTACATCAGTATTAGGGGAAGATCAGCAGCAGGGACAATACCAGTGACTAGTCCTTTATCCTCGTTCTGCCTTTTTTGGCACAATTCAGTTCCTCTTAAATTGTTTACTGATGATTTTTTTTTAGCATTTTTGGATTTCAAAAGTTTTTATTAATTTTTCCAAGGAAGAGAACAATATAAAGATCAAAAGAATAACATCTACAATGGGGTACCACAATACTAAGCCCAAAGTTGTTACCGTACATACTGTACCATGTCTTATAACAATGCGGAGAGGTGGTATCAGCTTGCAAGAAGAATTTTTTTTTAGCATTTTTAGATTACTCACTTCTGTACCATAGCAACATGTTTATTGCAAGGTATACATTTAACTGCAATAAAGTGGGAAGATTTATTCCTGCTCCCTCTCAGATGTATTATATGGAACCCCGAGGGTTACAAATTACTTGGATCACAGCTAAAAATAACCACACAAAACAACCTCATATTATAGAAAACGTTCCGCTGATCTGTCACCTCACTGATAGGGATCTGAGTCATTTTTTAAAGCTACTTGTGTAAATGTTATCATCTTGCTGTAAATAACAAAAAACTGAATTAAAGGCTAAATTTACTTTTCTGACCATGTTTTACGGTGTGCCCATATTTAGGGTGCAACATGACACATGGCCATATAACAATGGCCATGTGTCATGTTCACCCTACACACACACACACACACTTACCTGAATCAGGGGATTCTTCTCCCCACAACCTGGGATGGATTTTTTTTAAATCGGGCAGCTGTTCTGGGCTCCACCTACATGCCCACGTCATCCATTTACAGATCCTTTAACAGGATCTGGATGACAGCAAGGCAAAGAGCATTTGCAGAATAGGACGTCAGCAATGACAACCCATTAAAATGATTGCTATTGGGCTATATGTATCTGAGTTATACACAATTGTGCGCTTGTGGTAATTTCCTAGTCAGTAATGGCAGCCTAAGTATTTTCCTCAACAAGGTTTTCACGAAAAATACATTCCAGGTGCATCACATTTCTTCAGAGAGCAGCCGCAGAGAACAAAAGCCTGTCCTCTGCCAGAATGCTGCAGAGGAGGTCCCTTGCTCCCTGTGTGGACGCAGTGGTCTTTCTGCAGAGGTCTGAATCGCCCCCTACTGAGTCAGACCTATTGCTCTCCAATCAGCACAGCTGATTGGAAAGCAATGTCTTTACCTAATCAGGGGGCGCGTCTAACCTCTGCAGAGAGACCACTGCTACCATACAGGGAATAGGGTCCTCCTCTGAGAAGGTGAACAGAGAAGGTGAACAAAGTATTTCATCGGCCTATTTTGGCGAGCTATTGCTTTACAAAACAAATCTATAGGAATGCAAAACCTGCTTGAAGCAGGTCAAATGCAGGCCAGAAGCAAGTCAGCTGCAGGTCAAATGCAGGCCAGAAGTAGCCTAACTGCAGCTGTCAATGAATTCTGAATTCTCAGAAGTGTCTAAAACTAATGCCATCCATACAACCCAAAGCCCATCGACACAAGCCCTAGTACTGGGGTAGGCAACCTTGGCACTCCAGTTGTAAACACACAAAATCCCATCATGCCTCTGGGAGTCATACCTGTGGCTGTCAGAGTTTTGCAGTGCCTCATGGGACTTGTAGTTCCATAACAGCTGGAGTTCCGAGGTCGCCTACACGGCTACGCCTGCCCCCCTTGTACAAGATTAGCTACATTATATTTATAATATTGTTCCCTATTATAAAATGCTGCTCTGCCGCCCCCTACAGACAACAGTGCGTATTGCCAGCCTGCGTTGTGTCCAGTAATTGTGCTTCTTCTGTGCAGGTGTTCCAGAGGAGAATGGACGGCAGCATAAATTTTTACCGTGACTGGCCAGACTATAAAAATGGATTCGGAAACATAACCGGGGAATTTTGGCTTGGTAAGTGATCGCAGGTAGATGTGCTGAAGCCATTTCATTATAATATACAGCAAACTTACTGCTCAATTCAATAAGCTATACTGCATACAGTATTTACAATAACTATCGTTATTTGTGGTCATGTGATCTTACTTAGGCTCTTATTGGCTGAAAATAACGTTCATTGTGTCAAATAATAGTCCTTATAGATTAGCCAACTGAGCTTATAGACCTGTAGACAGTGCAGTGTGTCTCTGCTACTGCAGAGTCTGGAATCTTAGTTTATTGCCCCTTGTCGGGGCTTGTTCTAGCTTTAGACACAGTAGGCAGGTGCCTAAGGACTGAAGCTCTGTAAGACTAAGACCTGATTTTACATTCATACCAGCAGCTTAGGATGTGCTTCAGCCAATGACGGCTTTATTTTTTTACAGCAATACAGCAATATAGCAGCACCTTTCTTAAAGGAACACAGTTTTAGCAGTAGGATGATTTGTGATGGTAGAAGAGGGAAATAGTAGCCTGAACTGTCATTATTCAGGCCCTTTAAACCAGTAAGGCAAGGAAGCATTGGCAACCTACATGGGTATTAGCGGTGCTGAAAAAATTTCTTTTTTTTAGGACCTCCCAGTGCTGAAGGCCATGTGGGCTTGTATCAGCGTGACAGGGCATGAGTACGTGCCTTCAGATGCAGGGACTAGGAAGGGTGATACGTTCTGGTCCTCCTTGGGTAGACTTGTCTACATCCAGGCTGAGCGTACATTCTTTACACACTGATCCTCATACACCCTCCACCCAAACAAGGCCAAGACCAGTTAGGATGGATGCCAAGCTGGCACTTCTGGGTTCCTACATGCATTCTGCAGAGGAAAGCCTCAGGGGCCCCCCCAATTCAGGTCTTCCAAGATGTGATAACTCAGAACTTGACATTGTAAGACACCATGTAGCGCCAATGACCTAAACTTCACACTACGACATGATGGTGTAAAACCTTGGTGCCTAACCTGCATCCACATGCAGCCCTTCGGTACTTGCGTGGCCCTTGGACCCCAGCAGTGTTTAATGGAAATGGGAGCATTGGTTTGTAAAGGTGTAACAGCAGAGATCTCTACGAGCCTCACGTAACATGCCCCCAGTCTCTCACTGTCTTCTGTAGCATGTCCTTAGTCTCCAGCCAAACCTGTAGCATGTCGCTGATCTCTGACCATCATCTCCTCTAGTATGTCTGCGATCTCGGACAACCCTTTCTAGCATTACATATACTTAACCTTATATGAGGCCCTTTGGTAATGTCAGTGGCCCCAGCTGAGGATCTCTATACCTCATCAATTGACAATCATTGGCCTAATAGATCTAAGCACTATCCACCATATACATCATAAGCACAACATGTTCTGAGAAAAAAAAGAATAAGGACCATTAAAGGAAGAATAAGGACCAGTCTGGCTCCCCCTAAAGCACAAGGTTCTCCCCACTACATAATGCTAAGTCATTCTCCTTTCTGCCTCTCTGCAGGTAACATTGCTCTGCACCAGATCACCTCCTCTGCACCCTACGAGCTGCGCGTGGACCTGCGTGCTGGAGATGAGTCCGCCTACGCTGTGTATGATGATTTCCGAGTTGAGGGCGAAAATCAACAATTTAGACTGCGGCTAGGAAAATACAGAGGAACCGCAGGTCAGAGGGACAGACATACAGGAATTCAGCCTGCTGGTGATAGGATAACAAGAATACTGTATACGACAGATTTTTTTTTTTCAATGGGGTAGATTGATGGTCACAGTTTTGCCTATTTATGGTGCTGATTTTGATAGTTTTTCTTAGTTTTTATTTTTATACAGTTTATAATTACTTTTTACTACCACTAAAAACGTATAACATGCCTTCAATGCAATAGACTCAATTCACAAAGCTTACCCACAAGGATAAGCATCTTTATATCAGGCATGTGACCACCATTTTTAAACCACTTTGGGCTCCATTGAAAATAACTTACTCTTTGAAAATAGGAATCCTTATCCTGGTGTGTTTGCTTTGTGAACTGAGCCTAATATGTGTTAGGAGGAGATACATTGGGGGGAATTAAACAAAACTGCAGCAGATAACATCCGGAGCAGCTGTGCATGGCAACCAATCGGCTTCTCTCTTGTGAAAATGAAAGAGAGAAGCAGATTGGTTGCCATGCACAGCTGCTCCAGGTTTTGTTTGCTCCAGTTTTGATACATTCCCCTCATTATGTGATAGATGGAGATGTAGGCAATATAATGTTTAATATCATTGATAAGGAGTGCTAACATCAGCTGCCATCTTTCTAGGGGACTCTATGGACTATCACAACAACATGGTCTTCTCAACCCGCGACCGGGACACTCAGCGGAGGATCCTGCCATGCGCCATGTCATACAAAGGAGCGTGGTGGTACCGCAACTGCCACTATGCCAATCTAAATGGTCTATACGCCAACAACAAAGACCACCAGGTACGTGACCCCCACAATACGGGGTTGGATGTTTTTATATAGTGTTTGTTTGTTAATATTTGTAATTAATAATATTTTTGTTTATTTTCTGTCAAATAATTTTCAGAAAAACAACAGATCAGATAGGGAACCTAACACCAACAATTCTGTTTCATGGTTTTAAAGCTTATTGGAATTCATAATAGTGCCCAACAAGCTCATATACTGGAATGGAATGTCCAACAAGCTCATATATTGCATGTGTAGGGCCAGGTGTCCCCAAACTGTTGGCTTAACTTTTTGGTTTCAATACTATGATGCATCTTTTCTATTTCTATAGGGTGTAAACTGGAAGACGTGGAAAGGATTCGAGTTTTCCATCCCTTTCACTGAAATGAAGATGCGCCCTCGTGGCATGGGCAACTGGCGCCGGCTATAGAACCCCCCTGATGCAATCTGGAACCACTCAACTGAAAACTGGAAGCAACGTGGCACCTCCCGAAACCCCAACACAAGTCCAACCATCCTTACAGGATACCCACCAAGGTCATAAATGAGCGAACTTGTCTGAAGTGGCCTTTGTCATATATGCATATGTTTTTTGTCATCTGGATTGCTGTTGGTGAGTTGGAGACTTGGACTCTAGAAGCGATCCTAAGCCTACAGCACCCCTTCAATGATCAAGGTCTTGAAGAACAGCCAAGGAAGAAGGAAATCCCATTGCCGTAGCCTGCTAAAGACTGGCCCGTGAAATACAAACATTAATTAGGAGTAAGCTAAAATGTAAAAGAGCATCAGGAGGGAGCTAAATGGTAACTAAAACCAGGTAGCTGAGGGATCCAGAATACATATATTGGGGATGTACAATTTTAGGTGGAACATGCCATAGTGTCCTATGACCAAACAGCTCTTGCACTTATCTGTCTCCTTTGAGGCACATTTGCTCACAATACTATCACATGTTGCATTCGGCCTACACACAAGTACAGCTTGCATTAAAATAGATGCCTTTTATACATAAGATAAACCACATTACATGTAAAAACCAAGACGGCTCTCCATGACTTTTGTGCATAGACACACAGCATACAAAGATGGTGCAACTAAGCAGCGCAAGGGATCTTACTCTTGTGTATACATTTTTACACTGTGCAAGCTGAATTGTTCACCCAGATAATATCTTCATTCCGAGTATAAAAAGGAAAATCACGTAAAAATAATTTATAGCTCCAGTGATTCTAGAATAGCCAGGTCAGGTGGGTGTTTACTGGGCCTGCACACCACCCCTTCCCCTTCTCCTTGGCTCATCTATGAGTTTATACCTAATGAAGCCCTAAAGTTCACTATATGTCATTAAAGCCTCATGTCCTTCAAATGAGAATTTCCAAACTATACCATGTTATTTTCAAACAATACAAAAGTGCTATTACTACCCCATTGTGATGTATGTCCTATCCACTACATGTAACTGTAACAAGAAATAGGAAGGATTACCAACCAGAGGCCTATTTGTTCTTCTCATCAGCAGCTCGTGGCCATGTTCCTTACGCATGCATGGAGGAATAATGCTTTCTATTAGGGATGTTCAGATACCAAGTACCATACTCGGTACAAGTACAGATACTTTTCCAGCTCCAAGACTAGAGAAAAATTCCAAAGTTAGGAGGCAGCTATCATTTTTAATGGGCATACGGAGCTCCTGGGATTTGTACATCTCTGTTTTAATGTATGATTTTTTTTTTTTATAAATATATATAAGAGATGCACCAATACCTTTTTTTCAAGTACAAGTACTGATACTTTTCCAAGTACTCACAGATACAAGTACTGATACTTGTCCAAGTACTCACAGATACAAGTACTAGTACATTTTAGTTTATTGTCATGTGACAGTTTTTCTAAATCAATACAGACTAATGATTTCAGGACAGTGGTGGAGTGCCAGAGCTACGTTCCGGCTGCAACCCGGGTAGCTCTCGTGAAAATGCCAATTATAGGCACTGGTATCTGAACATCCCTACTTTCTATGGACATAAAAGGCACTAGGAAAGATTTATTACAGGTGTGTGAGAGATTACAAGCTTGCAGCTAGCAAATGCAGCAAATCATTTTCCATTATCTATCCTTTTGTTTGAACTTCTTGCTCAGCCTCATAGAGAAACACAAGCACACAGTCTGATATGCATGCTGCACATGGCTTGGAAACAGGAAGGAAGCCACAGCTTTATTCTCTACCTTTTTCAATACAACAGAGCATGTACAATAGATACTGTATAACATAACTTATAAACATTGCCATCCAGTGACCAGAATTGTATACTGCAGAAGTTGTTGCTATAAACACAGTAATGTGTATTCTAACAACTTTTTTGAGCTCAGGTTACCTGCCCACCACTATGCAAGAAACACGAAATGAAATAAAGGGGGCTTCTGATAGACTAAGCTACTATAGCAGGTATATGTTTAGGGAAGTGGGTGACTTTATGTTACAGTATGTCTATGTCTAGATACCACCCTCTCCCCCCCCCACCCCCTTCCCAGGTATCTCTGGCTTCACGTTGACTTGGCTGTTCTAGAAGACTGGGCCCTTTTCAATTGAGCAGTTCAGGCAGCAGCCTGTAGTACCCAATGACATTTCGCTTCTCACAAGTTCAGAATGTCCAGGACAATAAAACATGATTGTTGTTTGGTTGCTGCATTCTGCACTTAGCTATCATTAAATAAGCCCGACATGAAAGTAAATGGATGTTGAAATCTGAAAAAAAATACAAAACGCTGAACCGACACTTGGACATTGGAGAAAATGGACCGAACCTTAAGAACCCGAGGGCCGGGGAGGAGGAAAGTGCCACGGCATCACAAAGAAAATGGTGGAAGGGTTAGGATTTGGTTTGGCCCTATACCTTCCACCTTTATATAAATATATATATATATAGCAGATGGATACACTGTCTATTTTTATAAAAGCACAGTATTGGAGGGGACATAATGGGAGGGAACAGATGGTAAATGTGTTTGTTTTTTTTGTAAACTGCTTTTAATAAAACATGGCGGGACATGACATTGGTGTTTGTGTGAATTCCGAATTTAAATGCTCTTTTAATGCATTCCACTGTAGGTTAGAAACTGGAAGAATCCCATTGGCTGCTATGGGGTATTTCACGCAGGTCTTATTTTATTCTCTAAAGCCTGACTTGGGTTTTGTGGCCTGTGTCACAACAGGAAATGGGGGGAAATCTCTCCAACTGGGACACAGTGAGGAAGGGTTAGAATTCCTGACAGTGTTTTTAATGTGACAGGAATTTATTATCCACTCAGAAGCCCATCACATTGGGTCTCCCCCTTGGTCAGTTGGGTGCCAAATGCCCAACAAGGGCTTGTCCCATGCAAAATCAAAAAGTGAAAAAGCTGGCGACACTATTAAATTTCAATGCAAATGTAGCTTCATTGTTCTGGAAAGGCAGAAATTACCTCCACTGACGCCATTTCCCCAAAACTGGGCTTAGAGAAGAGGAGGGACAGAAAGGGAAACCTTTTTTTTTGCAATCAAAGAACTAATAACAATTCTTAAAGGAATGCGTGCCTGCAACAATGATACATCTCACTCATTATTGTTTATTAATCATCTTGTTAATGAAATTGTGTGAGATATATCATATATATACTTTTCCAATGCTGCCCTGTTCAGCATTAGGAGCTGAAGGAAATATTTAGTACTTCTGAGTATAGGAGGAGCATGTGACTCTATCTGATAATGCTGATTGGGGAGACTTTGGAGACTAATAGCTTTACATGGGGGGTTTGCCTCACTCTCTACAGATGAACCTAAACTATTTAACAAGGTTTGCCTGGTCTTTGGTTCCGGCAGAGTCCAATTCACTGCAGCGTAAGTCTGATTCGGACAGAGTCACTGACCTTCAGATGGGACTCTTAGCATTCATGCGTAGTTTCAATGGAAAATTGAGAGCTTCAAGCTGCAGTAGGTTTCTGTTGACCGACTAGAGGGCATCCTTGAGCCAACTCCACCCAATCAAAAAGCTGAGGGGTGTGGAACTAGAGGGCTGAAGTGTTTAATTATAAATCAGTGGTCACTCCTTTAATGCCGCCTAGACATGTAAGCTGCGTAAAAATTTGGTTCAGTTTGGATATTTAGTTATTTCGGAATTCGGGATTCGGATTCAATTCGGTTCCGTTTTTGGATCCGAATTTCGTTAGTTTTGGATGAGTTTTTGAATATTCGTTGGGAATACCACAGAAAACCATATACAGATATTAATACTAGCTGAATCTCCTAGACCCGAATGGCATTTGGGATCCGAATTTCTGCATTGCATTCGGGTCTGGGACCCATATACATATATTACTAAAGCTGGGGCTCCCAACCCCAAATGGCATTTGGGAGCTCCTGAATGCAATTCGGAAATTCGGATCCCGAACACCATTCGGGTCTGGGAGCCTCAGCTTTAGTACTGTATGTATATACTGTATATGGCTGCCATGGTGCCCTAACAAAAATTCATGTTCAGTTCCATTTGGATGCATTAAACCCAAAAACACATCTGATTGGCCAGAAAAGTCACATGTTCGATTCAGTTTTGTTTTTGAACGCAATTTGGACGAGATCCGAAATTCGGAAATGGAAATTCGGATTCGGACACATTCGGATGCATTGGGATTAGAAAATTCGGATGTGTCCAAATGTCTGAATTTCGGAAAACTCGTCCGAATTTTGATTCGGAAATAAAAAAAATCGCACATGTCTAAGGTCACCTAATGATATCATATGACTGTGCTAGATGACGTGTGTTTAGGGCTTGTTCACACCAGGTCCATTGATCTGCATTTTTCTGCACACCACCGCACATGTATGGTGTGAATAGAACACATAGAGAACAACTGTTCTATGTTCCCTGTTCACTTCATACATGTAGGCAAAAAACACACATTTTCAGACCCTCCAATTGAAGTATGTTGGGCCAAAAACACATGATTCTGCCTGAACAAAAGCTCGGGTGGAAGCACGACACCCAGGTATGAATGAGCACTATTGAACATAATGGGAATCTTCATGCTGAGCATTGTTGTGCTCCAGGAAATACACCTCACTATGCTCTGGTGTGAATGTAGGCTTATGCCTGCCTTGAGTTCAGCCTAAATTTACCCGCAGATCTCCAAACGTGACCAGGAGAGGAAATAAAATAAGGAAATGATTACCAGAATTTGTACATTTTGAGGTTTGGTGCCACCAGCTAGCCAACAAGTGTCATAATGGTACTTACAGCCCTGGTGGTTCCTATTATAATAGGCCATCAATGCGGCAGGTGGGTAGACTGAGGAACCCCATCATTAACATAGAAGCCTGAAGGTCATTTGGCCTGGTGGCTTCCAGGGGTCTACAAGAGGCCAGTCTGATTGGAGGCCATGCAGTTACTGCACGCCATTGCTCTC